ATTTCCTAAAGAATTTTTTATTAAATATTTATACTCTATATATTTAAAGCATCTAATTTTAAACATGATCACAATACGTGTTATCAATAAATTTTTTGAATCTTTTCGAAACAAAAAATTTTTAATAAATGAAATTCAAATTCAAATGAAATGAATTCATATTATTACGGAAGTAATATCATTTCGTATATGCAACTATAAATAAAATAAAAAGAGCAAACGAAAGCCTTTTGATTAGAAAATGATCACATAAAAAAACTAAATAAAAATTTAAGGTTGAAAATCTTGAACGAATTTAAATTTATATTTAACTTTAGTTTATAAATAAACACTTAATTAAAAATGAAACTGAAAATCAGTGGTAAACAAAATTTCAACTTTTATTTTCTCTTTTTGACTTTTCGATTTTTGAACTTATATTTAAGGTTCCAATTGACCAAAACAAAAAGGATATAATAATTTTTTTTTCCAAATACAAACATTTATTATGGTTTTCAAAAATTTTATATAATTTTTCATCTTATTCTCGGTTCGTTTTAAATTTTTTCCCTTTTTTCTTTTTATTGTATTCTTTGATTTTTAAGATTTTAAAAAAAATAAATTTTTTTTTTCTGTTTATTTTTATTCTAACAACCAAATACAAAGGACAATTGATTTAGTTGAAGAAAGAAAAAATATTGTTCATTTTAAATGTCAATCACGTACTCATTCTTTCAATAATATTATGAACACGTCCGACCTTCTTAAATAATAATCAGAATCAAAATAAGAATAAAAATATAAAAAAAAAGAGAAAATATTTTTATTTCTCCATAGTATACATTTTGGCCATATACTATATAGTCATGTTACAAACATACATAATACACTCTTTTCGAAAAACAAAATACGTACATACAACACTTTTTGATTTGTTTTTCTTCTGTTGATTAAATGAAAACCAAAACTTATGATGATGGGTTATAAGGATTGGAAAAACGTATAAACATAAAGTAAAAAATAAAAGAGAAAAAATGAACAACAACAAGAAAAAAAAGGTAATCCTTTGGGCTAACTAATATAATTCTAACTTGTACAAATACATAATGTAACTATAGAGTTACCACCTGACCTATTTCAATTATAATTATAGTATGTATACTCAAATAACTTATATATGTACATATTTTTAAAATAGATTATTGTTATATACACATTATATTTAATATTATACATTAAAATATAGGTATATTTAAAATAACAGTTGTCTATATCGAAATACATATATAATGTTATATTGTTACTGTTATCGAGAGTCAATTACGTATGTAAATAAATGTTATGTTTACTTATTAATTTATTAAAAAAAAAATAATTTGTTTATTTTTAAAAAAAAAAAACTAATTGATTTGAAATTATAGCTTAGGGAAAATGAGCCACAATTATTTATTTTTAAAAATTAAATATCGATAAAAATAGTTATTGTTATATAAAACTAATCTACTTAATTCATATATAAATAATTATGTAGTAAGGAAAAACCATTCAACCTAATTAAGTTATTTTTTTTAAAGAATTCAAAATTTTATTAACAAAAGTTTTGGAAAAAGGACTAGCTCTTATTTTCAATATTTAATAACAAAATCTAGAAATTTTTGTAATGCTTTAAGGCAGTATTTAAAACATTTTTTGACAGATTTCATCTACAACTGAAAAAAAGCAGAAAATATCGAAAAACAACACAATATTTAACATAGTTATACTTATTGCAATATATGTATGTATGCGAATCGTATAATTGAAATTTTTAAAACAATTTCAATATTTTCGATTCTGATATTTTAAATAATTAATAATGTTATTAAATGAGTTATATTGGAAGTATTTGTTTACAACAGAATCTTTTTTCTAACAGAATTTTTCATTATTTTGATTGACCTGTAATTCAATATAAAAATTTAAAACTCATTTAAATTAAATTAAAATTTTCAAATTGATAAATGTTTTCAAATTTGTTCATTATACCTAATTATACTTATGTAGGCAATATTCATTTATGAGATATTAAGGAAGTAAAATATGTTCCTTTTAATTATCTATATACAACACATTGTAAGTCCATATATTAAAAGTTGGTTACTCTCTTTTAAGTGTATATGCAAAGAAAATATAACCAATGTGAGCCTATTGTTTAAAAGGGACTAATAATGTTTTACAATATATGTATATACATATATAAGACTATATAATATATATTATCCAATAAAAATAAATTATGTAAAGTGCATGTGTATGTCCGAAAATTTATAGATCAAAATAAAGGATTCTAATGTACACAGAATAACATTATATATACATACATAAATATATAATATATTCTTATTGGTATATCCTTAAGTAAGCACAGTTATATATAAATATATATATATATAAATTTGTATGATAGTATAAAATCCCAAAAAAAAAAAGATTTTTGTTATAGAATGTTAGTTTTATTATTTTTTGGTACTTACTTACCATTTTAGTTTTCCTCCCTAAAGAAATTTATACCTATTTTTAAGGTAGCATTAAAATCTATATCTTTTCATATATTACATAGGTAAATTTAACACTATAAAAAAGTGTACATGTATAACAATTTCCCAATGCTTGTACGTGACATATTGGAAAAACATTTCTTTCTTTAAAAGATTATATAAAAATCCTTTTTGATCATTTTTATCATATTTTTGTTTGTTTTTTTTTATTTGTTTTTTGTATTTCATTTTGCCCTTTTTTGTTTTTGAGTCTCTTAAATTTTTAAGTATTTTCTTGTAGATTTAAAATATATGACAGGTTAATTTTAGAATATAAAAGTTGAAAATTAGTTTTAAACTGACAATACATAAAAATATAAGTCAAAATTTACAACTGTAGCACATATACATACATACATAAATTGTGTATATAAAAAAAATTTTGAATTACAAAAAGATTTTTTTTCTATTTCTAAAAAAATATGTTTATAGGAGAAATTGCAAATGGAAAAAAAAACTAAAATGCTTTAGGATGTATTTTGACAGAATTTAAATAATACGTAAACTAAATTTTAATATAAAATTTGATTTAAAATATTGAAAATTTCAATAATCCTTAATATTAGATTTTTTTTTACTAGAACACTATAATAAAATTATTTGTATTTTCTATATAGTATTTATATTTCATGATTCATGTACATACATATGTATTTAGATATGATTTACATAGGAAAGCAAATTTGAACAAAGTAAAAAATCTGATATGTTCAATACATAACTAGTCATATTAAGTAATTCTAGAAATATATATTTTTACAAATTTTGATGATATTATTCTTATAAACCTAAAGAAATAGCTATGAAGAATAGGTAAAATATTTTGTCATGTACTTGCTTTTGATTTCAAATAAGCTTATTAAGCTAGTTAAATATAAAATTTGCCCTTTGTGAATGATTAGATTCAAGGATCTGATTTTTCTGAAAAATATTTTGGTTTACTCTCTTCTAAAACATAATAATATTTTTTTGAAATCAGTTCACCCGAAATTGTACAGAAGTACACAGAAAAACAGATCAGTTAACAAATAAAGTGGTTAGCCGACATTTAAAAGAATTTTTTTTTGTAAACGAAAAAGTATACACATGTAAAATTAGTTTCAATCACAATTTTTTTTTATAGTATTAGTAATTAATTTTATTTAAACAAGAATTCAATTTATTTTAAAAATTAACCATATAAAAGTAAGCATCTCACCCTTGTAAAACCAAAATTTTTTTAGGCACGGAGTGTGAAGCCAAGTGGTTCATCCACACATGACATTTCGAGATAAATGGATTTTAAATTTTCAGGAAAAATATTATCTGTGAACCCTATTTTGTCTGTGTAGAGTAATGTTTGACAGAAATGATTTATGAAAAATTTTATATGTAATTTTACATTTTATTTATTTCAACTATGCCACAGATTGATCAACTTTTGGGATATATCAGATATCGGGAACTGGACTTTTTAACAGGCATGTTTAACATTTTTAACCATTCTAAAGAAAACATTCAACCGATTTACTTGAAATATAAGCTTCACTTGATCGTACGCAAAACCTCCTAACTTTTGGAAGAAATCAGGTATCAGCAACTGGACATTTACTACGGGCCAAATATACATTTTTGCGTATATAAAGAGAAAAAATCAACCAATTTAATTAAAATGTATTATTTAATTCGAGGTGTTAAAACAATGAATCTATAAATTTTTTGGGAAGATCAGCGCTCGGAAATTGATCTGGGAACCGATTTTAGATTTTTTACCATATCTACGGAACCAATTGATGCAACTTCTTGAAATTTAATATTTGTGTCCTGGTTGTCACTAGAAGTTATTAACTAACTTTTCGTATACTTCAGACAGCACAAAATGAAACCCTTCTAAGAGCCAAATGCACATTTTTCTAGGTATGTTAACTTAAAGCTTATTATTGTCCTTAAAATTCTAAAGAATTGTAAAAATAGGTTTTAAACACCATTTTCATAATTTTCAGGAGTACTTTTACTAATCTAGACAACATACGTTGCGGTCGGTTATGTGCTGATCAAATCAAATTTTTTATTTTTTGCAAATAATTTATAACAGGCTTTAAGTATTATATAAAAATATTAACTTACATAATTATATCTGTGATGAACACTTTATTAACATTCACAATTGACAACATTTTTCAAAGCAATCAACAATCCGAAGTAATTTCTTTATATTTATTTTTACTTGAACTTCAAATTATTTACTTTGCTCAAAATTTTCTATTGCGTTCAAAAGCATAATATAAGTATATGTACATATAATATTTATATAATCATGAAATATCAAGTTGCACACATGTCTAAATTACATTTAATTGTAACAGTTATTATAATATTTCTTTTCGCAAAATTCCACTTTTGATAGTCTGCTTAAATTAATTTACGCTAGTAATAATTATTTTAAATATTAATTACAATTTCGCTCTAACATTTAGGTCCAATTGTTTTTTTTTGTCTACGTTCTCTCAACTTTGCAAAAAAGTATTTCAAAATGAAAAAGTAAAATATTTCCACAAATGTGATCGAACTCATTCCAAGAAAAAGTGAGACCAGTCCACCAGTTTTTGCTAAAAGGAAATAAAACAAATTTATAAGTCTGTATGTCAACATATCATATAACATTATTATTATAAGGGCATCTTACACAAGTAAGTAGTAGTATCAACAAATTTTCTTCTCAAAAAATTGTGATAATATTCTTCTCCGAAAAAGAAATTAATTGTTATCATATTTCTATTAACGTAGCCTGGAATTAATAATTTATCTCTATACAAACTTGAAAAATTATCGCTGGTATGATATATTTCTGCAGAATAAAGTGTTGCTATATAATTTAAATCAAAACAGCCTGGCATAAAATTATAACATTCAAGTTCATCGTTATCATAAGATGGATCATTTAAGAAGTCGTATATGCAACGCATTTCTTTAAGTTCACAATATGTTATATGAGAACTTACTCTTGGAACATAAAACGGAACACAACCACAAACCTTATAAAACTTTGATGACAAGCATTCAGTTTGACTGAAATGTCAAAATTATTTTATATATGAAAATCATATTTAATCTCAGTTCTAAGCAACTTTTAAAAATTGAAATATTAGGCAAAAACTTACGCATTTTTTGTTGTATATGTTCTAAAATAAGTTAAATTGACATCATTATTATACAAACAGCCTCTTACATTAGGATCAATATTCCTAACATTTTCAGCAGTTACAGTATAACTTGGTGCTAACTTAACCCGCAGATCAACTCTTGTTCCAATTGTAAAACCAATTTCCCTAATTGATGATGTTTCCGCTGGTGAATGAACATTGAATTTTACACCAGAACCGTCGGTGGAAGAACAATAATATTCATCAACTTCAGCATCAAGTGTAATTGTTAAACCATTATAAATTCCAGCACCTACATACATATATAACTTAAAATTGTAAAATTAGCGTTATTTTATATATGAATTGGTTTTTTTGAGAGTGGTATAAATCCACTTTTTAAAAAGACTAAGTTAATGATGATTTTGATTATGGCCAATATTTTTTAATTGATTCAAATGCAAAACCTTAAATATCTCCATATATGAAAAAATTTACTTATAGTACTTTCAAAAAACCATCTCATATGTATATACAATAGCATAGCTTCAACCTGCAATGCGTTCAGGATAAAATTTTTTAGGTAAATCATCAGGATAACCAGTTTCTGTGCTCCAATCTATTGGCATAATTTTATCAAGTTTAGGTATGGTACTATCTGAAGTATCCCTGAATAAAATTAATTTAATTTGATTGTAGTTTAATTAAAAAATCTCATAATATTTACCTATAATTTTGAAGCATAAATTTCGGATGTAGTGAATTATATGTACAACATAATCCTTCGTCAGTTATAACCGGTTTAAACAATTTATTGCATTCTACATTACCACTACTTTGAGAACACTGGACAATTAAACGGTCACACGGTTGTGCGATCTAGTTAAAAATCAAATCATTAAATAAAATATAATCCAAAACTTTTTAACAACATACCTTCATTATAGTATCATTAAATATTTTGATGTTGTCATTCGATGGTGATTCGTAATTAATTTTTTTAAAATCTATTTCTCCATATCTTGTACATAACATTTGCAAGATTCCAAATTCTACTGTGTCACTTATTTTTTTTTTCAGTTTGAAATTTAAAATAAATTTTTTTTGAAAATTTTCTTAAACAATATTTTGAGAATGAAAAAAATAATCTGAAGAATATCAACAAAGATACCCTTGACAATAAAATAATTTAAAAAGCAATTCATGTATTAAATCAACAATCTTTTTTTTGCAACAAAGGGATGAAACAAAAAAATCGATTCATACTTTGTGACGTCACTACAAATACTTACACTAGACTAGACGTTAAATTTGAATTATTTTATATTAGTTAAAAAAACATACATGTTTCTTGACTTCTTGACAAATCGTTCTCTTCATAATTTAAAACTATAGATGTTTTCTAACCAAAAATTTTGACTTTAGAAGCCAAAACTTCATATTTCATTATTTCATATTTGAGTTCTGGTTTACTGATAAACTTTTTTGGGGAATTCGAACGACCCAAAATAAAGCTCTACTAGAGCCAAATATACACTGGTATGTTAACTAAAATCTTACTGACGGTGTTAAAATTGAAAAAAAGTGTTTAAAAGTCATTCGCATAATCTTTTGTTGCAGTTTCACTAAACTAGACAATATAATTTGCGATCGGATATGCGATCGCAAATTTTTATATGGATATAAAAATTATTTTTTATTTTTTTAATTTAAACAACTTTCTTTTCTTACTTTTTCATATCCTTAACTTTACTTTTTAGTGCCTGATTTTTATTGCAAACTGTTATAGCTGGGAACGGGAATTCTGTTACTTCAGTGGCATTATTATGTACTTGAATAACAACTGGCGTCTTACTCCACGTATGATAGACATCAATTATAAAAGAAAATGCGATACATAAAACAGTAATTATAACGGCAATAAAAAAAAATCTGAATTTGAGTGATTAAAATTCAATGAATTAGAAAAAAAAATATTTACTATAAAATAATTTAAGAAAAAAAATAATTACCTTTCAAAATAACTTATCTTTCGATTACCAACAAAAGGTAGTCCATGACAAGTTGTTTCCGAAAGAAATTCAAAAAAAATTTCTTTATACGATAAAGGTTTTTTCAATATTCTTTTATTTATTATTTTTTTCTGATTAAGACGACGGCCAATTATTAACGCGTCAGTTGAAAGAACTAAATCAATATTTAATTTTGATTTTCCCATTTTAACCCTTTTCAATTTAAATGGAAGTTTTCTTTATTTTCCGCAATATGAATGTCAACCAGTTAATCATAGACCGATATGATTTTAAATTCTTTTTAAAAAAAACTTATACATAATTCCGTTTCGACTTATTTTTAAATTCTATGCATAAATATAAGAATACTTAATTCGTTATTAATAATATATTGAAGATGCAAGAATATAATTAGCGACAATAAACGCAAGAAATACAAATATATAATTTTACAATATACATAGATCAATTTAATTAATTGTATACAACAATTAATACATATATTAAAATATAAATAGGTACATAAATGTGGAACAAGTTTTTATTACTGTAAATGTGTTAAAATTTGAATTAAGTGTAGGTTTTACCTGCTTCTAAATTATTTATAAGTTAAGCACTTTATAATGACGTACTTGTGCAAGTTCATTTGTTAAGTAGATGAAAATGTTATATCTTAATTTGGCCATTATAGTTAATTAATTCACAAAAAAAAAATATTAAAATAAATTCTTTTCATTCTTTTAATGAAATAAATTCTCTTAAAATGACAAAATCTTTTTCCATTATGTATAAATTGATATTCATGCCAATCTGTCAAAATGTTATTGTGCTTAATACTTTTTTACTTGATTTTTATTATTGCTTTAATCATTTGACTGTGATAATGTTATTATAAAACACGAATACTTCTGGTTCAAATTCATCTAAAATAAAGCATTTCAATTATACAGTTTTGGAATGGTAATTATTAGCACTATTGCCAAAAAAAAATGTTAAAAATGTGCTTATTAGTTTCACTATAAGTGCTTATTTTTCAAGTGTTGCAAACGCAGAAAAGTATTGGCGAGCTTCTTCTATCGCGGCATACCATATTTTAACTTTAAAAAAACAAAATTGCCATTAAAATTCACCGTTATCTAAAAACCATTTTTTTCAAATTTTTTGGAATTGTTTGTCTTCTAGACCTCTGATTGTAGAAGTTTGAAATTTTAGCAGCTTTTAGAAACTAATAAATAATTCATTCCGTTAGAAGACATTTTTTTGCTGCTCTTCCCCCTCTCAAGTTATCACCTCTCAAAATTTTAAAAAAATACAAGCTTTTCGAAATTTCTAAAATCACAGAAAGCTGACGGTAAATTTCTTAACTCAAGCAATTAAACACACAACTCACCCTTAAATTCGAGCATTATGCTAACGCTTTTTTCCATTTTTTTTGTTTTATTTCAAAGATTGTATGGATGGCTCATCCTAAATGTATGCAGTCTTCGAAATATATTTGTATATTAATAAAAGTATTTTTTTATAATGTAGTACACAGCTAGATTGTTTTTAAAAGCAGTATTTTCAATTAAAACGAAAACGGCTACATTACAAACCATTCGTTCAACCCAACTTAATAATAACACCATACGATACTAATTATACCCGTACGAACGTATGTTCGAAGGGTATACTAAATTTGCCTTACCGTTTGTAACGCTAAGAAATAACGGTGTTAGATATAGACTCAAGTGTATGTTTTTGATCAGCGTCAAATTCTGAGTTGATTTAGCTTTGTCTGTCCGTCCGTCCGTCCATCCGTCCGTCCGTCCGTCCGTCCGTCCGTCCGTCCGTCCGTCCGAACGATAACTCAAAAACTAATTGAGCTAAGTTCACCAAATTTTCACAAATGATTTATTGTAGTAAGTTCCAGAACCCTATTTAAATTGGACATGATCGGGGTACCGGTTCGGGTAGCTGCCATACAACTTCAAAATTTATTTGGCTATATCTCAGAAACTATAAAGGTTATGGTATTGAAATTTCACACAAACGAGTATATTAGTAGGGCCAATGTCTCACATAAAAGTCGTTGAATTTACTTGGCTCCTTCTGGTACCTGCCATACAACTTGCAAAATTATTTGGCTATATTTCAGAAACTATTAAAGTTATGGTATTGAAATTTCACACAAACGAATATATTAGTAGGGCCAATATGTCACATAAAAGTCGTTGAAATTACTTGGCTCCTTCTGGTACCTGCCATATAACTTCAAAAGTTATTTGGCTATATCTCAGAAACTATAAAAGCTGTGATATTGAGATTTCACACAAGTGAATATATTAGTAGGGCCGATGTGTCTCGTAAAAGTCGTTGAAATTACTTGGCTCCTTCTGGTACCTGCCATACAACTTCAAAAGTTATTTGACTATATTTGAGAAACTATTAAAGCTATGGTATTGACATTTCACACAAACGAAAATATTAGTAGGACCAATGTGTCTCATAAAAGGTGTTGAAATTACTTGGCTCCTTCTGGTACCTGCCATACAACTTCAAAAGTTATTTGACTATATCTCAGAAACTATAAAAGCTGTGATATTGAGATTTCACACAAGTGAATATATTAGTAGGGCCGATGTGCTTGATAAAATTCGCTAAAATTTCTTGGCTCTTTCTGGTAGCTGCCATACAACATCAATAGTAGTTTGGCACAACCAGTATTTTGAATAACACATAGTACTGAAATTTTGCATAAATTAATATGGTAATACGGCAACTTAAAGTCATAGTCTGCCCCATAGTTACTTATGGCACATTAGTTATTCGCACATACGATAACAAATTCGTACGGGTATCACAGAGTTGACAAGGTCAACTCTATTTTTTTTCTCGTTTTATATTAATTTCACTTTGAATTTTAACAAAGCATTTTCTTATAATATAATAAATAAAATTCGTCGTCAAATTGACTTGAGTTTGGACTAATTTTAGAATTAAAAAGTTCATTGCAACATTTTCACATAAATTTTATAATTTTATTTTTATTTAAACGCAAACCAATTTTTTAAAACGTAAGCAAATCATTGTTTTTTTTTTAAATCTAATAAATGTGCAACAGTTTAAAAAACAGTTATAACGATATAAATTATACATAAATAGATAAATTGAATAAATAATTTCTATTTTCGTTGCTCTATTTATTTCAATTATTCTACATTCTGTAGTCAATTTTATTGGGCGGCTTAATTGCATTAAATTGTTCGTGAAATTTTAGTACATTTTCCTGATTAAAATTAACGATCATTCCCTTTTCAGTTTCCTGACGCTAAAAAAAAAAAAAATTATTGTATTTTAAAGTTATATAACAGAAAACTATTTTTATTGCCTTTAAATTTTTTACTGTCATCGATTTTAATTCTTTGTTATAACGGTAACGAGCACAATATGGACGAAATGTACAAAAATAAATAATTTCAATGATTGAAATTGTACTGAAACCAAGAAATAAACCCATTAATCCACCAGTATAAGCTAAAAATAAATGAAATTTAAGTGATATTCAAAAATTGTACAAAAATAAAAAAAAAACAAGTAAAAACGTTTCAGTCGGTATAAACCGATTGAATTATACCCTGCACCTTTCGTTATTGTGTAGCAATTACTCGAACCTCTGAAATCATTCTATAGAAACTTCACGGACGTGTCTGACCTATAATTGGACATCCGACTGCCCAGTTTCATGAATCTGACCTTATAATTTTTCCAAATATTTAAAATTAACTTTTGGAGTTGTATGGTAAGTACCTGAACCTGTCAAGCAATTCTACTAAAACTTCACAAATATATCTGATCTATAATCGGACACACAACTGCCAAGTTTCATGAATCTGACTTTATTATTTTTCCAAATATGTAAAATAAGCTTTTGGAGTTTTATGGCAAGTACCTGAACCTGTCAAGCAATTCCATCAAAACTTCACAAATATATCTGATCTATAATCGGACACACAACTGCCAAGTTTCATGAATCTGACTTTATTATTTTTCCAAATATTAAGGATAAGCTTTTGGAGTTGTATGGCAAGTACCCGAACCTGTCAAGCAATCGCACCAAAACTTTAGAAATACGAGTATGTGTGACCTTTAATTGGACACACGACTGCCAAGTCTCACGAATTTGACTTCATTACTTTTCCAAATATTTAAAATAAGCTTTTAGACTTGTATGGGAGCTACTCGAACCTGTCGAGCAATTCCACCAAAACTTCAGAAATATATTTGAGCCATAATTGGACACATGACTGCCAAGTTTCATGAATCTGACTTTATTATTTTTCCAAATATTTAAAATTAGCTTCTGGAGTTGTATGGCAGGTACCCGAACCTGTCGAGCGATTCCTCTAACACTTCAGAAATATATTTGACCTATAATTGGACACATGACTGTCAAGTTTCATGAATCTGACTTTATTATTTTTCCGAATATAAAAAATTTGCTGTTGGAGTTGTAAGGCAGCCACCCGAACCGGTGCAGCTATCCTATTATAATTTTTAGAGCATATGTAGAATATAATTGGACACATGTATACAAAATTTTATATTTATAGCTTTATTAGTTTTTGAAATATTTAAAATAAACTCTTGGAGTTGTATGGCAGCTACCCGAACCCGTTGTCCGACTTAGTCCAATAACAATAGGGTTCGTCCTTGGCACAAAAGAAAAAACTTGTGAAAGTTTGGTGTCGATTGCATTATTCGTTTTTGAGTTATCGTGCGATCGGACGGACGGACGGACGGACGGACGGACATGTCTAAATCGACGCAGAATTTTACGCTGAGCAAGAATATATATATATGTCCATACCGCAGATGACTCCTTCAAGTAGTTACAAACTCCATACCAAAGTTAATATACCCTTCACGAAGTGCAGGGTATAATAATAAAAATTTTCTTATGCATGGTATGCGTATAGGTTAATAAATTGATATTAAAAGCAATTTGTTTCAAATTTACATATATTCAAATCGGTTTAACATTAAAAAACATTAAGAAAATTATTATTTTTTCAAAATACTTACATAAAAATTCAGTCATTCCAATAAACTGATCTTTACTATCTGGATGAAATGAATTTTCTGTGTAAAAAAAATTCAATATCGTAATGCTACTTCGTACTAATTCTGGATCCATTTCTTCAATAAATTTATTTTTTAATTTAAATTTTCCGCTAATTATTGGTGACACAAACATATCACCCTTATAAACATAATCAAAACATCCTGGTAAACATTTTGCATTACATTTAATATACTCATTATCAACTGGATCATTTGGATCAAGATAAACATTTGTACCATTTTTTATACACAAAATATCTTTTAAACCGCAAGTTGTGATATTTGAATATATATGAGGCATATAATAATCAATGCATTTACATTTTTTATACAAGCGTTTTGCATCACATTCCATATTGCTGAAATTTATGAAATTTGCCTTTTTATTTACATATTAATTGACGAAAACCACTAAGCAATTTGTAAATTATTTAAAAATACTTGCCAATTTCTTTTACTATAAACAGCGTATGATAATAATTCACTTTCTTCTTCAAAAATACACTGACGATATTTTCGTTGAATAGATCGAACCGCGTTTGTTGCTTCAGTAATTTTAACATTAACACGAATTCTTGCTTCCATGCCTACACCAATTAATAGCCCCGTTTCCTTAGCATTCGGTATTTCATTGGGACTATGTATAGAAATTTTAAAACCAGCACCATGCGTAAAAGAGCAAAAATATTCATGAACTTCTGCATCTAATACAATTGATAGTCCGTTTGATACACCAATACCTTAGAAAAAGACTTTGATTGTATGACTTGTATAATATGTAACTGTAAAATATTTCAAAAGACAGACTATTCTTATCTTTATTCAGACAACGGAATAATATGAACTGTCTTTATTTTTATAATTTATATTTCAAATATTTTTTAGTTTTAACCTTACCTACACCTGGCCTAGGATAATATTTTTTTGGTAATTTTCCAACATATCCTGACGAAGATGTCCAATTTACAGGAAAAGCACCATCTTGAGCGAATACGTTATCTAATCTATAACTAAAAAAAAAAAAATTTTTTTTTTTGAAATAAATTCGTTAGAAACACATTTGCAAAAGAAAAATTACTTTCCATTTAAAAAAAAGAAACCTGTATGTAATTTATTAAATGTGCAACATAGTCCTTCATCAGTTATTAAGGGTTGGAAAATTTCTGTACAATTTTGTTTTACACCACCAAATACACAATGTGTAACTAGTTTATGACATGGTTGAGAAACTTGAACAAAAAAATCTTCGAAATCTTTGACACTAGTTGTAAAATTCAAATTTCCCAATTTTTCTGCATCAATGTCATTCTCTTGATTACATAACTCCAAAACTAAAGAGCCTTTAAATGAGTTACTTAAAAATAAAATAAGCTATACGATAATCATTGAAATTAACACACACATTTTGAAACTTACTTAAGAAGACTTTCAACTTTACTTTTTAAAACTTGATTAACATTACAAATTGTTATAGCTGGAAAAGGCATTTTTCCAATTGGAATTGCAAATGGGCTTATGCCGACAATTACAGGTGAATTATCCCATTTATTATAAACATCGAATATAAAATACAAGGCAATGACAAATGCAGTAATAAATGCAGATAAAAATAGAAATCTGTAATTAAAAATAAATTAAAAATTAAAATGAAATTTAAAACCTGTGATTACAAATAGATATGTATAAAAAAACTAAATTTTTTTTCGGCGAGAAAATAAATTTTTGCTTTTAAAATTCCAATATCTTTAAAAATTTAAAATTCTGACTAAATTTTAATCAGATTTTTAACTTTTATGATTAAAAATTTTTTAATATTTTTAATTTTTTTCTATAATATGATTTAGTAACATTCGTATTCTTCGTAAAACATTATAAAAAACTTATCTTTCACAATAACTTATTGACTCGGTTCCAACGAATTTAAGGCCATGAAATGTTGTGTTCAGTAAGAATTGCGTTAAATTTTCGTGACAAGTAGGACGAATATTTTTCATTGGTAAGTCTGAAGTTGGAATATGCGGTGATGATTTCGGATAATGCCAATAACTTGCTTCACCATAATTGGATGGAAATCCAATTTTCTTTTTAAAATTAATATTTTTTAAATTTAATGAATTTCTTTGTACCATGGTTTTCTTTAATTTTATAATTAATTTCAGAGAAAATAATTAAAAATTTATTTTTATTTAAAATTTTTATTTAAAAATTTATTTTTTGTGTAACTCGAAAAAGAAAAAACCTATTTATGTACACCACCTTTAAACGTGTAAACAGAACGAAAAACTTACAAAATTTAACATTTTCATGAAGTCAATAAAAAAAATTGTAGAGAAAATTTAAAATCAATCTTAATACTCATACAATACAAATTTTATTATGTATACAGGGTTATTCTGAAAGGTATACAACAATATACACCATTCGTTAGAGGATCGAAAATGGGTAAAACATTTATTCCGGACTGGGTGCCAAATCTCAAGGGTTTCCGAGTTCCAGTGATTTTAAAGAATTTTCACGGAATTTCATTGGATTTACTTGGATAAGTAAATCCAAGTTTTTTTGATTATAATTTCCGTTATGAAAAAGATGGGAACTTCAAACAAACAATTTTTGAAAGGCCTAATAAACAGCTTAAATAAACATGTTGCTTGATTCTGTATTTAATGTATCTTTAGAATGCAAATCGAACTTTAGGCAAAATCAAGTTTATCCCTTGTTTAATTTTTTCAGTTTTTTCTAGCTGAATAATTTCGTAAGAAATTTTTTGATCCCCTAACGAAATCCCCTAATCACCCTGTATATAAACGAGAATTTAATGTAATTATATTATAAGTGAAGGTCAATTTCATTCCAAAAGTAATTATTATTTGTACTTAAACGCGTTAATTATTTTTTATACAACATTCTAAAATTCAATTACTTAAAAAGATAAGGTATTCAATCTAATTTTAATTACATATTAACATAATTATATATAAATTAATATTGTATTTATTATTTGAATAAACTCAATATGAAAATCTGAATAAAGTTTGAGGTCTAAATTACACGATTAATTATTGTATGATAAATATACATAAATTAAATTATAATATATATAGAATTAATATTCAATGTACATAAATTCATTATTACGTTAAATCGCTACTATTTAATTAAATAAGATTAATTTGTAATTAAATAAGATAAAATAATTGTTGGCATTAGAATAAAAGGTATTATAAAGTTTCTAAAGTGGTTTTTATATATTTCTTACGATCAAGAACTTCTATACATTTACAAGAATATGATGTATTAAGTAAAAACTTCTTTCTAAACTATTTATATTGATTTAATCAATTTATTATTATAAAATTTTCAATGAATTTAATTATTAATGTACAAGTTTTGCATAGATTATAATAAAAAATATTAATAAAATGATAAAATAATGCCATATACTTGTACACATATCAATCAGGCCTCCAAGCTGAAAATATTTTCCGAAATTTTGAATCAGAAAAAAATACAAAAACAATTCTTAGTGTTTTTGTTTTCGAAGTATATTGATTGAAATATTTTTTTATTTTTTTGTGAAATTTTTCAGTATTCTTTATGGTTCTTATTTTATTTAGTATAGTTTTGAAAGCCATCTAGATTCCCATAATTATTTTTTTAAAATTCTATTTCTTATAATTCAATACCCTTCCATTTGGAAGACAAAAAATGATGCATGGGCTAAAAATTGCAATTTGTTTTTTTTATAAGGATTTTTCTGATGGAATTTACCAACTGATTTTTTTGAAATTTAAATTTTAAATTTAAAAAAATATGCAGAATTATTATTGTAGCTAAAAATATTAAACAGTTTCCTTCACACCACATAAATTTAAGCTCCATATAAATTTAAAATTTATCTTTGATTTGCTCTCTAAGCTTGATGGCCTGATAGATATATATAGCATTATGATAAAGTATTATTTAAATATAGCAATCGATTTAATTCTTATTAAAATTGAATGAAATTATTGAGTTTTATATAACTAAAATAATAAAAATATTTAGATTTATTTAAAATTTTGAAAATATCTCTTGAATTACTATATAATGAATAACTTATAATTGATTCCGAATTTTTTCTGAGATCAATTTTCTAGTTACATATTTTAAAATTAACATAAGTATTTTATTAAAATTAAATCAAATGTCTCCATACTTACTTTTCGATATCAGAACACAAGAAAATTTTTTATTTTTCTGCAAAAATTACTTTTACAAATTGTAAAAGCAATTATTAAAGAACAGGAAATACTAAAAATAAAACTTAATATTAGAATTTGACTTTTTGAAAGGATAATAACAATTTTTTAAGCATAAATTTTAAATTAAATCTTTTATACAATTTTAAACAAAATTCTTGTGCAAGAAGTTGTTTAAAATTTGAAAAAGAAAAAATTTCATTTACTGCCATTTTTTCTCTTTTTAATTTTATTATTTTTATTGTTTTTTTAATATTCTTAAATATATATATTTAATATTCGTATAACAATAAAAATTGACATAATACATATACGGTCTCCAATTCATAATAATGTGCGTAAAGTATATGTTCCTTACTCGTACAAACAAAAGTGAAATGAAGAAAAGTACACGTTTCCTCTGTTTTTTTTTTATTTCCATTGTAAAATTCAAGTCATTCACACAACATACAATACCAATTTAAAAAGGACGTGAAAAGTTTTTTAAATTACACTTTCTTTCTTTTTTCTACCATTTTTCACTTTTTAATATAATGTAATACAATTCAATAAAATTGAATGAATTTTAAATAAAAATGTTTTTTTTTGTTCAAATTGCCGCGAGAAAAAAATTTTTTTGAGTATAAATTAAAAACAAAAAGGTATAACGTGTTTTGTCTCTTCATAAAATTCAACCATGTTCAAATATTTTTTTCATATTATAGCTAAAATTAAAAAAAAAAACAACAAATATTCAAAATAAAAACAATATTAAAATATGATAATGCAATTTCTTTCCTACACGGAAAATTCTCAAGATAAATGAAATCGTGTAAAAACTTAACCAGAATGTAAAAACATTGATGATATTTTCTAAATTTCAAATAGGTTGATTTTACGAAAGAATTTCCTGAAATTAGAAAAATTTGACAAATAACAAAATACATAATAATAAAAAAAATAAAAAGAAAATTTTAGTTTTCTATTTTTGCTAATTTGGAGTACACACTATTAATCTATTTATATTATAAGTAAGTAAGAATATAAGTAAAATAAAATTAACATGGGAAAATATTAGTAGAACTAAAGAAATATTTAAAATTTTGCGGAAATTAGTTTAAGAACTGTAGACATACATATTATGTATATAATGTACAAATCATGTACATATTAAGTTTGTTACTTTAGATTTTTAAAAGAAGCCATACTTCAGAAGAAGAAAATACATACTTCCTTAAACATTTTTTTACAATATAACACAACTTTATTAGAATCTTATTTTTGAAAAGGGTTATGCAATTTGTAAACCTTTATTTGCAATTTATTCACAAATAGATAATATTTTACAAAAATATATGTACATACGAGTACTCGTATTTTCAATAAATAGTTTTATCAGAGCACCATGATAATTATTATAACCTAAATTAACTAATATGTGCTATTAATTTAATTAAAATTTACATAAAATTAGTATTTAAATTAAAGAAAATAATTAAATACTTTTTATTAGTGAAATTATTTAAGAATAAAAATTAGTAGTATATGATGAAACTATCTGATGAAATATTATTTTGTAAAATTAAGTTATTCTTGTTCTAGTAATAAAAGAGTAAAATATGTATGTAAGGAATTTTTTATTTTCATAATATTAAATTTAATTTACTAATTAAATGCAGCTGGCGGTATACAGCACGCGATATTTGGAGTGCGGAACGCAGACCAAAATTTATGTTTTTTATATAAATGTAGATTATTCATGTAGAACAAAAATTTTCATTATTTTTTCTATTGCCTAGGACAGTTTACACAAAAAATCACAACAAAAAATTAAAAACTTTTTCTCTCAGCACTCCTCTCAGATACAAAGAAGACAATTTTTGTAATTACACAACGATCTAATTTTTTAAAAGGCGCCAGTGAATTAGATTTTTTAATTTAAAACAAAGGCACTTAAAAAATCAGATCTGTTGTGTAATTACAGAAATTATTTTCTGTATATCACTATAAAATATATACTCAATAATATTATTCTATTCCTAAATAGATGAAAGTAGTCATATAGGGAAATATTATTTTGTTATAGAAATTAAAACGTCCAGGCTATTATTTTTCAAAGAAATTATAACGTTTGAATTTAAAATTCCTCTATTAATTTAAATTTTTGATTTGATTTCTATTTAGCACTTTTCCAAAATTTTTTTGAAAAAAAGTGCTTATTAGTTTCACTCTGTCCGTCCGTCCGTCCGACCGTTCGTCCGTCCGTCTGTCCGTGTGTCTGTTTACAAAAATTCTATACCCTTGAAGATAGAAAGCTGAAATTTGGTACGTATATAGATCTTTACTAGAAACTTATTTTCGTAGAACAAAATTTTTACCTATCTCCCCCCTTCTGGAAGTTATACATCCCAAAACCCTAAAAATGGCCTTTTTTAAATATTTGTTGCAATGAAACCATAAACATTTTTGAAATTTTACAAACGTATAAAGGCAGCGGCTTGCTTCCCCTAGCGCGGTATACTATAGCTAAACTTTAGAAAAATAAAATGGCCGTTCAAATTTACCGTTATCTAAAGTCCTTCTTTTACAAATTTTTGCTGTCGTTTTTCGTCTAGACCCCAGTCTGTAGAAGCTTGAGATTTTAGGGGCTTTTAGACACTAACAAATAGTTCATTTCGTTGGAAGAAAATTTTTTTCCATCTCCACCCCCTCTCAAGTTATCGCCTCTTGAAATTTGTAAAATTTGAATTTTTGACGCCTTATGTTTCCGAAACCGCAAGATTTTTCAAATTTCTATAAACGCAAAAAGCTAACGGTACATTCCATGACATTAAAAAATATAATTATTTTTCTTAACTCACATAATTAACCCTTAAAATCGAGCATTATGTCAACCCCACTTTATATTAATTTTTGCTTTATTTCAAAGACTGAATAAATCGTTCATCCTAAATATATGCAATTCTAGTAATAGTTTTGTATATGAATGAAAATAATTTTAATAATGTGATAGGTATACATAGATTGTATTTAAAAGCAGAATTTTCACTTGTTGAAGGGAAAAGTGCTACAATACAAACCAT